ATCATTGCATCCAAATTGGTGTGAACTTGTGGGGGATGAAGGTCAAATTTATTATTATAACTTTATTACAAAAAAAAGGCAGTGGGATAGACCGGTGGTGGAGAATCGGCAGACGCTGGAGGGGTGTAGCGTGACGTCGATTAATGCGGTTATCGAGCGGGCAATGGCTTCGCAGCATGTGGCTGTGGAGTCAGTGCCCCGAGGGGAGGAAAGTGGAGCTAAGGAGGAGCCAGCGGCTGTAACGAGCGAGGTAGAATTTAAGGAGAAGGTAAGGATTCATTTTGTATATACCTTTTTACAAGAATATGACTATAGAGTGGAATAGAAATATAAACTATAGAGAGTTTAACTGTAATATATTATTTATTTGATAATAGCTGCAGAATTTGGTGATAGATCGTTGCAGCCGCTGGAAGGGGGAATTTAAGGCGGCGGAATTCAAAAAACACGCCAGGAGGGTAAGTTCAAACCAAATTATATTATGCACTAGAAATTTTCTATATTGAATTTATTAAATCTTTTATCCGTCCTAATGTTAACGATAATTTTTTCGTCTCTATATAGCTGGCCCACCTGGTGATAGAAAAAGAATTCCGCCGCCAGAAGGAAGGGGCGTACGTGGTGACTGACTCTCTTCGGTTGCGAATAAAGGAGTTTGTTGGTGATTACATCAGCAAGCTTCTTAAGCACCGAAGAGAGCCCCTCGAGACTACCGCTTTTTCTGGTAAGAAGCGAAGTCTCGAGGACCGCTCGGTGGAGGGTGGTCACCACAAAAAATCAAAAAATTAATAAAAAATTTAAAATTTATAAACAAAAAAAAATAAAATAAAAAAACTAATTTTCATTTTTGTAATATAAAATATTATATATACTTGAATAAAAATATGATTATGATAAATTGTAAGTCATTATTGCGAATGTCTATTTCTCAAAGCCGCCAACGAAAATATTGCGACAGTAAAGCATACCAACGTATCTACTAGCTTTCTAAATAATCTGAATTTAAAAATTCAAAAAAACAAAATCCTCTAAGTTCCAAAAATAATTCTTTCCAAGCATAATGGCATGTTTAATTTTAAATCTAAATGCTTTTTAACTGCTCAAATTGCTTCTAGAGTACGTATATTTTGTTTTTAAAAGCGCGCGCTCTCTCTATATGCAGTCTGTAATAAAAATAAGATCGTTTAATTCGCTTTGTTCAATATAATTTGTGATGTAGAACATAGAAACAGATATAATCAAAATTTCGCATTTTTATATTATTTCTTGAATATTAACTTGGATCAATACTACTTTATATGCTTTATATCAATATTAATCTATTTCTCTAGTACTAATTCTAATCCTAACTCTATTTCAATTTTGATCAAGTGATATTTTATGCAAAAGATAATTTGAGATACAGATATATTACTATTATATATATAATTATAAAAAAGTTTAATATAATAAATACTAAAAAAAAATGAAAATATTAATTTTAAAAAAATATTTAATTTCTTATCAATTAAATTTCTTATATTTGATTAAATATCTCAATAATTAATTATTTAAATTAAATAAATATTAATAGTTTATTTTTTCAAAATAAAATTTTAATTCTGTCTTATTTAATTAAGTTATTTGATATTGGGATTTATTTAAATGTAAAAATTTTTATTATATATTTTTTATAAAAAAAAATTTATTAATATAAACTTTTTTGAATTATTATTTCTTAAATTTTACTATATAAAAATTAATATTAAAATTATATTACTAAACTTTGAATCTTAATATCTTTATAGCTACTAATTTAATTTTTATGAAATTTAGAATATATATTTTCAAATCTAGAATAATCTGCTTGTATAATTTAAAGTTTTATCTTGCAAATTAATAGCAATAATATTTAAAATGTCTTTTTTTAAAAAAATAATTTTATTTTAGTTTTTTTAATAAAATAATACTTATTTATTATTAAATTAAAGTATAATAGAATAATTAAAATAATATAAAAAGTTAATTTAGATTATTTTTTATTTAATATAAAAAAATTATAAAGATTAGTTAAAATTTAAATGATTTTTATTAAAAGTAATTATTAATTTTATATTAATATATTAATCTTTTTATATCAAATTATATTAAAAATTTATATATAATTTAATTTTATATTGATATATTAATCTTTTTATATCAAATTATATTAAAAATTTATATATAAATTAAATTTATTAAAAATAAAATCTTTTATTAATATTATTATATATAAATTTTACTATAAATTATTTAGTCTTTATTAATTATTATATTTATTAGATTATATTTTATATTATATTTATTTAATTATATAGACTAAATAAAATAAAAATAATGTAAATTTCAAATTCAATCAAAAATTTTCTTGATTTTATTTAAAATAAAATTTATTTAGAAATTTATTTGACTTAAAAATAGAAAATTTATTTATTAATAAAATTTCATTTTTATTATCTTTTATTTTATTAATAAGATTTTATATTAAATATTTATAAAATAATAATAAATAAAAATAAAAAATATATTTTTAATTATTTATTTTATTTTATAATTAAAATAATTAATAAAATTATAAAATTAATAATTAATTTTATTAATAAAATATAATAATTAAATTTTTTTATATTAAAATATAAAAAATAATTTTTATTTTATATATATTAATATAAAGTTTATAGTTTATAATTTAATATAAAATTTTCAAATTTTTATATAAATTTTTATTTTAATTATAAATTATTAATAAACTTTTATAATATTTATATAATTTAGTATGATTTAATACAAAAGATTGATATATTAATATAAAATTAATAACTATTTCTATTAAAAATCATTTAAATTTTAACTAATTTTTATAATTTTTTTATATTAAGTAAAAAATGATCTAAATTAACTTTTTATTATATTTTAATTATTTTATTATAAATTAATTTAATAATAAATAAAGAATTACTTTACTAAAAAAACTAAAATAAAATTTTTTTATTAAAAAAAAGATATTAAATATTATTATTATCAATTTATAATATTAAAACTTCAAATTATACAAGCAAGTTACTTTAGATTTGATAAATATATATTATAAATTAATTTAGTAGTTATAAAGATATTAATATTCAAAGTTTAGTAATTAAATTATTTACTATATAATTTTTATATTAATTTTAATTAAATTTATATAGTAAAATTTAAAAAATAATAATTTAAAAAAGTTTATTATTAGTAAAAATTTTTATTATTAGTAAAAATTTTTATAAAAGATATATAATAAAAATTTTTATATTTAAATAAATTCTAATATCTAATAACTTAATTAAATAAGACAGAATTAAAATTTTAATTTGAAAAAATATATTAATATTTGTCTGATATATCAATTTTTTTGCATTGGACTATACAAAAATATAAAAATATTAGAAGATTAAAATTATTATAAGTTTAAAAAAAATATATAATATATATAAAATTATATGAATAAATAAATAAAATTTTTAATATATATAATTTTGCAATTTACAGTTAGCATAAAAGTAATGATAGATATATTTTTCATTTTATAAAAATTATTAAAAATTTACAAAAATTTGGCATTATATTCTTTAAGATAATGGAAATAAAATTTTCTAAACTCACAAAACATGTTAATATAGTAATATTTTATGCAATTATATGCTAAAAATAGTGAGCTGGGAACTATCCTGATTAAAGTATATTATAATTAGAATAATTATAAATAAAATTCTTTTTTACTTATATTATTTTTATTTTTGAAAATATTTATTTTTTTAAAAGAATATTAAAAAATATGAAAAACAAAATAATAGTCAAATAAAATAACTTCTTGTTGATTATAATATAAATTCTGATGAGAAATTTGAATAAATATATATTAAATAATATTATACAGTAATTTGTAATAAAATATATATATATATATAACAGAATATATAATAGAAATAAATATAATATTTTTTAAGTAAATGATATTTGTTAATAAATATTATAACTTTATTATAATATATATTTTTAACTATAATTGATATTAAAAATACATAATATAACAATTTATGATATTTTAACACTATTTATTAACGTTTATACATTTTTTAATATTAATTAATATTAAAAAATGCATATCATAACAAGTATATGATATTTTTTAATTCTATTTATTGATAAAGAATTTATTTTTCAATATATTTTAAAATTGAATAATACTATATATTGTTTAATATTATTAAATATTCTAAAAAACTTCCTGATAAATACACCTGTTTTAGATTTTAATAAATTATATATGTATCAATTTTAATATAAAATGTAAAAGAAATATATGAGAATAAAGTAAAGATTAGATATATGAATATTGATAATATTATTTTTCGAATAAAAATTCAAGATATTTATATAGATATATTAGCAGGATTTGACATCTTTAATCTAAATAGTATAAGATAAATATTCTGGTAAATAATAACAAAATTAATTTATATTTAAGTCAATTTATTATTATATATTAATACATTTCAAAAAATGAAATATTTAATTCTATGATTCAAGTATATTAAGATTATTTTGATTAAAAAATTATGTATTATCTCTTATAGAATCTGGAAAAAAGTAATACATTCATTTATTACAAAAAGCTGGATTTATTGGATGTTATTGTCAGTTTAATATATAAGTATTGAAGAATTAGAGCATATAATAATACGAACTATCTACTGTATATTAGATAAAAAATAAAGTTTTCACTCAAGCGTAACTGTTCTATTAACAATTTGATATCCGTTTATATTTCTCACAGGGATTCCTTCTAATTCATCATCTTGCATTACTGCTTTTTGACATCGTCTTTGACTACATCGGGCTGTTATTTGATATAGTCGGTTAATAACCGCAAAAAGCAAACCAATTGCACTCGAAACTAAGGCAATGGTCGGTAAAATATTGTAAGTGATGTTTTTCCCATGATATAGGAACTAGTAAATTCAAAGTATATTTAAACATAATAAATTATCATGAAAATTATCATTATGTAAAATATGAGCATCAAAAACCTACACGAATAATGAATTGAGGCACATCTTCAATCAATATATTTGTGCAACTCGCCCAAAAAATCATTGATTCTGCTCGATCCGAAAAAGTCGCAGAAAATAAATTCAGCCTGCCAACTTGTGAAGAAAGAATTTTAAGCACTTCCACATCTGCGCATGAAAGTATGGTGAAGACAGCTGCTATTTGTGGATATTTCCGGAACCAATCATTGAATTTATCTTCACGCGAGTTTTCCGATAATATTACGAATAACGCGATAAAAGTGTTGAACGTGAGTGGTATAACCAAAGTTATAATGCTAAAATAAAAAGGATAAATAATATCTACTCTCTAAAAACATTGTTATTTGATTCGAATCGTTAAAGATTACATACCTTGGTAGAAATAGTTCTGGAAAATCATTACTATTTTCTATTACGAATAACAAGTCGAATATAAAATCTTGTATAATAATAACAATAGTAAAAATGATAAAGTTTCTTGCCTAGTTTAATAAAGAAAAAAAATTAGTATATGGAGGATGCATATATTTTCATGCTATACGATAGGTACTGTATTGTTCAATCTAATAGCGAGAATATTAACTCTAAATCGCACACATCTGGGAACAGAACGAATTTATCTATTGTACCAATACACCCACTAATATACCAAAAATTCAAATAAAAAACACAAATACGTATATCGAGCTTACTTCTTTATTTGCACGCTGAGCAAATAAATAAACCAAACTTGTTGCAACTAATAGAACAACAGTAAGGATAATCGCAAATTTATATCTTCTCCATAAATCGTCTATTGAAAAATTGCAAGTAAAATTCTTTACATACATACAATTGACATAAAGGTAATTATTTCATGTTTACCTGTCGGCACAAAATTATACGTGCTATCAAGCCATGCAGTATAATTATTCTGCGAAAGGTCAGTGAATTGTGATTCTTTTAGTAAAACTCGAAAGTCGTTGATCAAGTCTGGCACATCTGGTTCCTTATCGTCTGTTAGTTGTCCAATATCCATACGTAATAAAAGTTGCGGCGGTTGTGTATTTGGTTCGATTTGAAAAGCATTTCTTATTGATATTCGTGAATTTGCAACTGGAATTGCTTCAGCTATTTGATTTGCTAATGCATTTACTACTGAATATCCTAATGTGGCATATGCCGCTTTGAATTCACTTGTTCCATTGACGGATAGACGCAATAAGCCACTAGCAGTATCTATAAGTTGATTCAATTAACTATCATTCAAATATCGATACATGGACATGTATAAAATTACCAGTATGCAGATCTTGTGATTTCGATTCTAAATTTTAGAAATAATGTTAATTTTCAACGCTTAAATCAATGTTCTCTAATTCCAAGACAAAATTATACCTGTCGTAAGAAACCAAATGTTTTTATCAATTCCATACAATGGTTCATGATTCTGAAGACGCATAACAAAATTGGTATCCACTACGATGTAATACGTTGTATTCGGCCGATTAAAAGTGCTACTAAAAACACTGATTGTGACGTTTGTTAAACCGGTGACTGGGTCATATACAGCCGAACCTCCTGAAGTCACTTGTCGCAAAGTATTTGGATATTGATAAATTGAAACATTTCCCGTGCCAAAGTTAACTTGAGAGTAATACATAATTGTTAAGCTTTTGTATCGTAAAGATATGGTTGAATTTATTTCCGGAATGGTTCTATTGATATTCGGATTCGGAAATCTTTCGTCTACGCAATTAAATTGTTGATTAATTAATTACATGTATGATAATATTAATATAGCAAAATATAATAAAATACGAAACGTGCCATATTGAATTAATTTTGGTAGGTCAATAGTAGTTATAGTCCATTCCTTTGTGTTGTTTGTACTAAACGAACTTAACCAAAAGGTATTCTTCATTGGATATATATTCATATGTACGTGACCTTTTGCAAAGTCTATTGTGTCATAGACCATTCCGGTAGTGTTATATAGATCACCAACTCGTTCAGTTTGCGATTGAATGCCAACCACAATATAACCACCAGCAAACACACTATAAGAATCTAGAAAGTTCCAGTTTGATGGATCACGAAATTGGAGCCTGTTTATTAAAGTGACAGAACCTTCGGAAATAAAGCGAATATTATAAATAAATCGTAAATATGTTTCATTGACGTAAGGTTTCAGGAAACATCCATATCCCGTGCCGTCATATGAAACGCGACATGGACCGATCCACATTCGATACCAAGGCATCGAACTTTCATAAAGAATAAATAAATCAGTTGTTTGATTTGAATTGAAAGGTAAAAATAGAACGTAAGCACGCCACGTAATTTCTTCTAAATAGTCGTAGTCTGTTGTAGTTGTTGTAGTTGTTGTTGTAGTAGTATTCATTGTAGAATTTGTAGCCCAAGTTATATTTGTGTTGTTGGTTTTGTTAGTGTCCACATTACTTGATGTTATTGGCAATGAACTATTAGTGAGAATTGCACATCCATATCCTCCGTCGACTTTTATAAAAACATCATACATAACAAAAATATCTTGAGGTTGTGGTATATAAAATACGCCTTCACCCAATTTGATGGGCTGATATTGATCATTTCTAAGATTGTGAATATTCAAATATATTGTAAATATGAAAGTTTGGCATGAGCTTGTAGGATTTTATTACTTACAACGATGAAAATCTCGTCCAAGTTACAGTATAATTGGGCCAGATGTAAGTTCGCAAGAAACCACCATCTTCTCGTAGACTCATTGTTAGTGTTTCATTTATAGGGAACGCTTCTCCAATATGAAATTGACTAAATTGATGAGATCAATTAGTCAATAAATTATTAAAATCGTCAATTGAAAGTTATTAAAAAATAAATTTAATGCACCTTAAGATTTCTCCTTCATAAGATAAAATAACACCAGTTTCGTTGTAAGTTTTATTCGGAGAAGGTATTTCATCTCCGAAGTCGAAATATGCAAAAAGAATGTATTTTGGTTTTAAAAGATAAAACCATAAATAATCGTTTGGACAAAAGTTTTTTTTGTGATACATTTAAGCTGTTAAGTGGCAAATCAATTTTGTCAAGTTTGCCTGTCTTATGCACGACACGTAAATGTATTTGTGGCTCACACATCGCCTGAGTGTTATTGCGAACTAGTCTTATTAAAATTGTCCCTCTTGAATCTGTAAAGCTATTAAACACCTCAAAGTCGTCAATCTCATTTTCAGTATATGTTAAATTAGCTGCGTCATTTTTAATTGGGAAGAAACAAAACACTGATAAATTTATCAAAGATAGTAAGAAAATAGGTGAACATATCATGTTTATTAATTCAAAAGATAAATCATTTAATTTTTTTCTTTACCAGTTACTTATTTACATATCGATATGCTGTGTCGACCCCGAATCATTTTAATTTCATATATCACATATCCCAAGTAAAGTAATTTGTATAGAGAATTTATTTTCGTCTATTTTTATATAAAGCATTAACCAATTCGAGCTGTTTAAATAACGATAAACTTTTTTTGTATGCAAATAAACGACGACGACAATGACGTTTGCTCAAGTCGTAACGCCCGATTTACTATTACTATACATGTATTAGCCAAACAGGCTTTTCAGGTAATCTAAATACATGTACAGTACATATGCGACTAGATAGGAGTCACCTGATACGGCGACACATATTCTAGTTGAATCGATTTATAAAGATGAGATGAGAGTTATTTCTCGAGTAATTTTTTCATCAATTGATGGATAAGCAGAAAGATTAATGTATCTTTCGTCTAAAGAATTTCATTTCATCAACTCAAATAAAATCCAATTTATATAAAACATGCCAGACAAATTGTAAAAATTAAAGTTTTAGGATTTGAAGAACAAAGATTCGAAATCCTGAAGCAATTTTACCAAAACTTAGGCTAGAAACTTCGCGTTTCGATAATTTGCTATTTCATTTATTTTAGGAAACATTTAAATTCTAGATCCATTTAGGAAAGACGATAAATAAAATGTGTGTAGCGACTAAAATGTATACATCCCATATTATGGGTGTTATTATAGTCGATAATCAAATTTCTAGAATCTTTTGTGATGATTGTAACGTCATAACCTCCATCAAGTAAGAGAAAGATTGACCGAGTTATTTATTAGTATTGCTCGTATACGGCGTGTTTATAATATCTTCAGCTGATTTAACAACTGTGCCCATTCAAATTATGAAATTCCATTTAAATTAAAAAAAGCAAATTGAAGCAATTCGATAAATTTTCATTTGCTGGGTGGAATACACCAATTACAAAAAGTGCTAGAAATATTTATTGAAAATTGATTTATATACTGATAAATTACCGCAATCTCCTTGATCGATAATTTTTGTCTCCAAAATCGTAGAACGAGAATAAAATATATTATAGTGACATGCATAAATATAATTAATTCCCACTAATCTTAACTGGATTGCGCCGTATAGCTATGATAAACGATAAAAATATCTAAATACTTTGGTAAAAAGTCACCTAATAATGCGGTCGAGGCATCGTTATTTGATTGTAAACGACCAAACTAAGCGTACGATTTAACTGTCATTAAAACAAGTTTTTCATGATTTCTTTATTACTTTTTTATAAGGATTGCTGCACGTGCACAGTCTCATTGTCGTGCATATTTCGTTACTCATTAAATATGCAGAAAATCATCATCTTTCACATTCCATTAAATGTAATAACATTTTTCTTCTATAGCTATAGTGATAATTTTATCTTTGAAGTTTTTTAATACGCATAGTTCAAAAAAAAAGTGGCTGATACATGCATTTAGACCACTATGAGTTACCATTCATGTAGAAGAAATAAATATTCAAAAAAATCTATATTTAGCAAAGTAGGTTAAGTTCTACTTAGAATGTGAACTAAACTGAACTGGTTTGAACCGGTTCTATTTAATAAACCAATCTTATCCCTATAGGGAATTGCGATACGTGTACATGTATTTAGTTTATCTGTTCCGTCACGTGATATCTGATTAACACATTTGTGACGTAATTGTTCTATATTGCTACATGATGAAAAGATCACAAACTAATTAGATTGTTGAATTTGAATAAACCTAATGAAAATGTGCCAAATTTGCTATTTAATTAAAAGTTTGAAAGAAAAATCAAGATTGTAAAATGCATTATATAAATATATATATTTAATCATAAGCAATAAAGCTAACTAGTTTATAAAAATTTTCTTATAAAAATACTGTATTTTCATTATGGTCTTATTCGTAATATTTTAGTTATTTTAATTTACATTATCTATTATTTTGC